AACCCTGGTAAAAACATCATATTATTTGAATTGTCCTCATTAGTAACATACCGTATTAGCAAACCCTTTCTTTGTTATTTGTATACTGATACAAAAACAAGTTGTATAATATCAGGTATAACTGCTGCTGTTTCTTAAATGTGCTAAGCAATTTGAAAATGTCCTCAAAATTAGATAATCGTTGTTTTCATGTTTTAAAATGTTACAAGCTGCTATGGTTTGAAGGGCAACAAAATGAAACTCTTGTTTTCCAAATGGCTCAAGAAAAAGAATATCAATAGAGGAATATTGATCAATGAGTTGGTCTTGCCCTTTCGAACTGACCTATAAACATCAGATCCATGCTTACACTCGTTATGCATAAACAGATCTGTGACCTGGTTACATAAAGTCACCATGTGTTGCTTATCTCTCTCAGCAAACATTGTTTCCTCATGTATCATAAGGACACACACGAGTTTGCATTTCTCCACGCCTCAATTCCGAAAAAGTTGAACAAAGTGTTGGACTTTGAGCAATAGATCAACATGTCACGAGATAATGAGAATGTTTCTTCGCCGTGAAAACGACACGATGCATCATTAATCAGCATATCGCAAGAAAACGCAATCCGTGCCCAGAGACAGATAAACGTCTGCTACTGAGCGATGCCAACCCGGAAAGCACTACTTTCTTGTTTCCTGGGATTGCGTCATGTGTTGTAACCGGAGAAAGGGTGTGTGTGTGTGTGTGTGTGTGTGTGTGTGTGTGTCTGTCTGTCTGTCTGTCTGTCTGTCTGTCTGTCTGTCTGTCTGTCTGTCTGTCTGTCTGTCTGTCTGTCTGTCTGTCTGTCTGTCTGTGTGTGTGTGTGTGTGTGTGTGTGTGAAGAGCTCCATGCTGTAGAGCTTTTATTGAATCTGTCTTCCTATTGTCTGCAGCCAGTAACTGCTTGTCACGTCCATGAAGCGGCCACGCATGTATTAATTTGAGCTCCTTAACTGGTTCTTTGTGTATATTTAGAATGGGGCTTTAGTGTGTGAGTGAAAACAAGAGAGAAAGAGATAAGCAGGGAGAAGGGAGCCTCAGAGGTGGATGGACAAAATGTGTGTGTGATGCACCCTGTCTGACATTACACTCGATTCCATTCTCCAGTCAGCAGCTGCTAAATTAAATTCAGCCTTTCTTCTCAGTGTTAATGACATCGGAGACCACAGGCAGTCGGCTGCTTTGTAAGGAGGGATTTGCATCGAAAACTCCCGGGGAAAGAAAAAGTGGACTTGAAAAACTCTGAGAGGCAGATGAAAAGTAACTTTCATGTCTCATAAAAGATCTGCTAACCAAAAAAGCTCAATGAGGACGCAATCATCTCCATATCTGCCTCCCAGTCATTTTCATATTTTGTGGATGATTATTTGTTCTTGTTGCGGAGGCATGCAGGGCTGTGATGTGCTTCTAGATCCTCGTTCTGTTTAAGAAAAGCCACAGGCGTTGCAGGAACTTTGTTCAAAAAATTATTTCATGATGAAAGTCTTGTTTGAAATCGAGATAATCTGCCGTTTGAAGATCACGACACCTGCTATTACAAATTGTGTGGTTGCAGAACATTTGACCTTTAAAAGTCAAAAACACGTGAATCGGGACGCAGCGCTGAAGATGATGTCATGGTGGTACTTCTCATCATTATCATTATCAAACAGGCCTCTTCAAAGATCTCTTACTACATGAGATACCATTTCAATCATCTAGCCGGGCACTTCAACATCAATGCACAGCTGCTGGATTCAAACTGGAGATAACTGTAATACAAAAATAGCCTTAAGAGTAGAAGTCACATAATGAGTCTTAAAGGGGCCCTGTTAAGCTCTTGGGGGTCTTCCCTTCTCTGTGGTATGTTATATTGGTTTGTGTGCATGTAAACGGTCTGCAAAGGCTAAAATCCCAAAGTTTCCCCCATACTTGTAACACTCAAGCTTTTATTGGCTAGGGCTCCTACAAATTGAACGTGATAAGGCTAAGGGGCGGGACATCTCTAAGCGGTTGACCAATCACAACAGAGCCGGACAGCTAACCAATCAGAGCAGACTGGGCTCTGGTTTCAGACAGAAGGTGAAAAGAGGTGCTGCAGCACAGACAGTATGAGAAAAATAAAGAGCCTTTTGAACATTAAAGCATGGAGACATGTCCCAGTAGAGACACTACATACTGATATACACCTGAACATCAGCAGGAGAGGACTCTTTAAAGTAGAGACACTACATACTGATATACACCTGAACATCAGCAGGAGAGGACTCTTTAAAGTAGAGACACTACATACTGATATACACCTGAACATCAGCAGGAGAGGACTCTTTAAAGTAGAGACACTACATACTGATATACACCTGAACATCAGCAGGAGAGGACTCTTTAAAGTAGAGACACTACATACTGATATACACCTGAACATCAGCAGGAGAGGACTCTTTAAAGTAGAGACACTGCATACTGATATGAATCTGAGAATGAGCAGAATATGTCCCCTTTAAAAAGCAACAGCTTCGATCCCCTAAAGGAGACATGACAAACATCTTTGTCATTATTTGACTTTTGGCCGATGCTTTTTAAATGGATAACAACAACTGTTAGTGTAAGTGATGTTAAATAATGTAATAATATATTCAGAATATATTTGATTTGTTTGTCTTCCAATGTAATCATTCAGAGATACTTGGGAAAACCAAATGTGAATTTTAACGTACTTACTGCCAGTTAAAGTAAGTGTAATGTGTTGTAAGGAAATAGCAATGATGAGTCTAAGGACCAAAAGTATCAGTTTTTGCACATGTAACATATACACCGGAGGATCATTTTGATAAGGTTGCATACATTTTTACTTCAGTTATTACTGAGATGGATTTGCATTGTTTGACTGATTTTTCTGCATGACCTCGAGCTATTGGTGCAATCAGGTTTCGTATTAAAGTATAAACAAAAAAAGTTCACTCAAGTTCTGTGAGGCAGCAAACTCTCAAATAAGAGTCGTGGGAGAAACTCACAAGAATTCTAAATGTGAATGCATATCAAAGCCCACTGTACTTTACAATATAACAACAATATAACTTTGATAAAACTATACAATACATTTCACAATTAACGTGGTTATATAACACACACTCTTTAGATAAACTCACGCACCCTTTGTAGCAACGACTCGCACTCACACAGCAGAATAAGTTTGAAATATAAAAGTGAAGTCTCTCTGGTGTGGTAGGGTATACCAAACTCCACATCCACCATTTCCTGTTCTGATTGAAAATCGATTGAACTCGCAGTGTTGCAATCCTCCCACCATCACGATGTGAGGTCAGAGAAACTTAAAGCCATGGCCCCAAATCTCCTGGTACATTTGCCAGAAGCTCAACAGTGAGATTGATGCCCGTGGAATCGCTTAAATGTGCTTCAATGCCTTCGTCTAACACAAACACCGACCGATACATGTAGGCAGCGAGGTGAGGCTAATGCGAGTATTCTGACTGGCTAAGTGTCTTGATGGATGCGTTCATGGACCGCCGTGCCAGCCGCCAGTGATTGATGGCACCATGGATGACAGACAGACTAATGATATGGACAAGCTCTTTAATTAAACATCAATTAGGAACACATATTCAATTCTCTCCTCCTCTGCGGACTTTTCTCTCTGCGTTTGCTCAGGCGGTCACATACATCTATTTCCCCTTTTAAAAGATGATATTAATTTCAGAATTGTTTATTCATATACCTCGGCACAATGCGAACTCAGATGGTGATGAATACATTAACATAAAGGTTGCTTCATTAGATGTTCCCTCATTTATCAGACATGTCTCAAAGACGTCAGGAAGATGAAGGGATGGTAAACAATGCCAAGACACACATCACCATTGATTGACTTTTTTTTTACATTTTATAAACAGCCAAGTATGCTTTGTATACAGAGATAGCAACACATCCTTTACTCAAGTAGAAGTACAGATACTCGTGTTTAAAAGTAGAAGTATTGACAAAACTTCTTTACTCAAGTCAAAGTAAAGAAGTATGGGCTTTGAAATGAACTTAAAGTGGACCTATCATGCTATATTTGAAACATATATTGTGGGGCCATACCTATATAAAACATGTCTGTGAAGTTTTTTTTTCAAAATACCAAACAGATCATGCATTNCATTTCTTCCATTTCGTTTCGACAGAGCAAAACCAAAACGAGTAGCGCTTCAATACAATCTGCCATTGTTGTTCGCGCGGAAACCCCTCACATCGACAACAACAACAATGGCAGATTGTATTGAAGCGCTACTCGTTTTGGTTTTGCTCTGTCGAAACGAAATGGAAGAAATGGGACGACTTTACTACAAACTTTACAGTATATGCTACATTCGAAAGTTCTTTACAATCATCATCAACGACGATTCCGTAGGAGAAAGAAGGTAAATATACGTCCTATTCGATGGCGTTAGAGCTAGCTGTTGTTAGCCTCTGCATGCGCCAAGCTCAAAATAACCAGCTTTGCAGCATTAATTACTATGGTATAACGTTAAAACTGATGCCCCTGCCCCCGCCTCCGACGTAAGCGTGACGTATGCGGTGCTTGCTTTCTAGACCGACAACTTTTTGGTGCTTGAAACGAACCGGATTCCGGAGCTTAGAGGCGGCTCCGCTGCGGTGTGAACAGGAAAAAAACTGTGCTTTTCAAGCTCCAGCTCCGAGCCGGCCCTGGAACCGTGTTGTTGTGAAAGGAGCNAGTTTTGCCAATGCCTGAAACAGCCTCAAGCTAAATCTAAAAGTTGATGGCTAAATAAGAGTGTTTGAGAAATTGTACAAGGCATAATAGTCCGAATAGTCGATTAATCGATTATCAAATTAGTCGTTTGTTGCAGCCCCAGTCACGACCCATTCTGTAATCACGAGGATGCACCCAGCGAATAAAAAGACATCCCATAGAGATATGATGTGTCCCAGCCCTCAATCTAAGCTCTTGTTTCTCTCATTTTCTTCATTCATAGAAGCCACAGTTGTATTCTTGCGGATGAGATGGGTTTAGGGAAGACCATCCAGACAATCTCCTTCCTCAACTACCTGTTCAACGACCACCAGCTGTACGGACCCTTCCTGTTGGTCGTGCCTCTCTCCACACTCACCTGCTGGCAGAGGGAAATCCAGCTTTGGGCCCCTCTGATGAACTTCGTCGTCTACCTGGGAGATATCAGCAGCAGGAACATGGTATGGTGGTACACACGCACACGCACACGCACACGCACACGCACACGCACACACACACACACACACACACGCACACGCACACACACACACATTATGGGCTGGCATCACTGTAAACAGTTTATTAATGTCTTTTATTTCCTTTTCAACAGATCAGGACACACGAGTGGATGCATCCTCATAACAAGAGGCTAAAGTTTAACATCATTCTCACGACGTATGAGATTCTTCTCAAAGACAAGGTCAGGATCGATCTCGTTGTTTACCCCTTGATTGCCCAAATGAATGAGAGGAAAAAAAGGTGTTTTGGTATGCGCTGCAGTGTGTCCATGTTAACCTTGTGTCGTGTGTACTTCCAGTCCTTTTTGGGCGCTGTTAGCTGGGCTTTCATTGGTGTGGATGAGGCGCATCGACTGAAGAACGACGACTCCCTCCTGTACAAGACCATGATGGATTTCAAGTCCAATCACAGGCTTCTGATCACAGGAACGCCGCTGCAGAACTCTCTGAAGGAGCTGTGGTCCCTGCTGCACTTCATCATGCCAGAGAAGTACGCTTTGTTCATTATTAAGCTTAAATGTTTGATCATGAGGATGGTTGTTGTACTGTACTATTCTCTGAGTGGCAGTAACAGTGCAACACAGGGTAATATCAATGGGAGGGTCTGCACTCTAAACATCTGATGTGTAAAATGTGTTTTTCGTCACTTCTTTTTTAAATTTATAAGATAATCTCCTTGTCCTTTTCATGCAGTTGCCATAATACAACATCCAGTAACTGCTTTTCCCCCTTTGTAATATTATTTGTTTTAGTTGTTTTGAAAGACTTTGCTTTGTTTGCTTTGAGTCAGACACTTAGCTCCAGTGTAACAAATCAGATATTGCTGTGTGCACGACATTAAGTCAGAATATAGACGGGTGACTACTAGGGATGCCAGAAACTGACCATGATCAAAATCGAAAATCGGACAACCCTGGCGAATAATCAATTATTCAAAGATATTTTTTTCCCCTTTGATATATATAGCATTTTTTTTAACTATATTTAACCGGATGAAGGATTTTAGTCACGGACGTCTGGATCTTAACTGGTTGACTCATCATACCTTAAGTCATGATCTAACATGTCATGATAATGCATGTTGCTTACCCTCAAATAAGGGGGTTCATCTGTGAATGAAGAAGAGAAGAACCTTTTTGTATCCAAAATAGTTCCAGATGGCAGATGTTGCTTTTCTTTTTGGAAGTAAATCTTCATTCTCGCCGGTATTGTCCTCCTGTTCCTCTCTCATTGGAGAGAAAACTAGCGGGGCGGGGCCTGCTGTGATCTGATCAAGAATGATTGTGATTGGTGGTTTGCTGTGCATGCAGAGCCTGCATGTCACTCACTCAAGTACCCCTGACATGAGAGCCACGCAAGTTTTCCTTTTGTAGCAAGCAGCAAAAATAATTGTAACATGATGTGTTTGAGTTAACTTAATATCGTACATCCTACAAAAAATAAAATAAAAATAATAATACATTTTTAAAAATAAAATCGCACATCCCTGCGATGTGAATATCGCGCATATCGCGGTTATCGCCATGACACGATATATCGTTCAGCCCTAATCTGTGCTACGGTGAATTGACAACTTCTTCATATATAATGTGCAAGAAATGTGTACGGCACCTCTGATGTCTGTTGTATGTGTTGTTTCTCTAGGTTTCACGCATGGGAGATCTTTGAGGAGGCGCATGGTAAAGGCAGAGACTCGGGATACGCCAGTCTGCACAAAGAGCTGGAACCGTTTCTCCTGCGAAGAGTCAAGAAGGACGTGGAGAAATCTCTTCCTGCCAAAGTGGAGCAGATCCTCCGAGTGGAGATGAGCGCTATCCAGAAACAGTATTACAAGTAAGAGCTGGACTCGACCCCTTCACAAGTAGATTGTTTCATTATGCAAGTAAACTATGTGTGAGTTTAGGTTGGTATGTGCTGAATGTTAAACAGTGAAACACTTGTGTCTGCTTCCTTTTGTCCACGTTGGTCTGGCATGTAAAGGCTGCGTTCCTAATGACAGAGCAGCCTTTCAAGTGTCCGGTGTCTATGTTCTGCTGTAGAAAAGATGAACCAGGAAAACAGTTAAAAGCTTGTTCGCGTGCAAGTCTCTCTGCACTGGTGAATGTATAAGGATCCTATTTTTTAAAGAATAAAGTATTCTAAGCGTTATACTCAAAAACACGTGGAAGTTCCCTGCGTGACTTTTGAATTGTAAATGCAATCTCCAGACGTAATTAGCTAATGTAAAGCTATAAATGAACCACAGTACTGTTGCGTTGCTGCGCTATCATCACCGCTAAGCTAAAGGCGGCTAATGTTAGGCGTGATGGTGTTAGGTAGTCTCATTTAGCCGCTTGTTAGGAACCTGCTTTTTAAATGACACTTAGAGGATTCAGATATTCACCAGTGGGGTGTTAACTGACGTATTTTATGTTGTAGAACAAAATAAGAAAATCTCCTCAGCTTGTGTTAACCACAGAAACCATTTGCCGCTTTCACACCAATTACTTAGCCGGTACTTGTTCCACCCCGAACTCTTAAGTCCCTGGAACTGTCCTAGTAGATCGCGTTCACACGGGAATAAGTCCCCAAGGGAGGATTTGGCAAATGACGTCACTTCTTCTTCTTCTTCTTCTGCTTTGGGTTCACAAAACTTTTCGGAGTTTTACGGGGCGTGGTTTGCAATTCGCCCAGCCAATCAGAAATTGTTAGCTTGGCCGACAGACCAACGAACCATTTCTTCCTCAGGAAAGTACTACCTCTCTAGCAGGGACTATCTGGGGGTGAAAAGGTTAATGCGAACTAAGGACTAGTTCCAGATCCTTTTTGGTGTTAAACCAAATTTCCCCCCCTATCGGCCTAGTTCGGGGGGAAAAGTACTCCGGTGTGAAAGCGCCTATAGACAGAAACTGGTAAAAGGCTCAATCATATCTGGGTTGTAGGATTCATTCAGGCACAACTCTATGGATGAGATTCCTACTTTATTTCATGTTACAGCTAAACATTTTCTACCCAATTTCCACCATAGTTTACTAATAAGTGTGTGTGTCTTGTGTTTGTGATCAGATGGATCCTCACCAGGAACTACAAGGCTCTGAGTAAAGGTAAAGGCAGCACGTCGGGCTTCCTGAACGTCATGATGGAGCTGAAGAAGTGTTGTAACCACTGTTACCTTATCAAGCCGCCCGAGGACAACGAGTTCCTCAACAGAGCCGAGGCATTACAGGTCGGTTCATTTTATCTAACCAGATTATGTTAGCATCATGTCTATAGGGATATGAGTCACTGCATTTAAGGGGAACATAACATCCTAAATGATACTGAATGTGCAGCAGCATGTCCATTTAAAGTAATGGTGCCGTTCAACAATTCATAGGAAGCCTAAATATAAATGAACATCAAGGTATGTATGTTTATGTATAATTAAAAAGTCCTGTCATTAGACTCATGCATAACACAGAACATATACGTATGAGTACGCAAATCTACGCTGGAACTCCTAACACAAATAATTTCCCTCAGTTTCAGGCCTTCATGTGCTCTTCATATAAAAAGCCAGGATAAAAATGACAAACCGGCTGGGGGGCTACCTCTCTGTTGCTTGTGTGGTGTCACATCAAATATCCTGATGATAATTAGCTGATAGTCACTGAGTGAGCAGTGTTCCTTAACTCTGGCCAACTTACCAATCAATCACTGTATACTAGGATCAATTTAGTTACCTAACAATGCTCTTAAATACATTTGAAAATGTGAAAAATTGCTGCTGTTTAGCTTAATCTATGTTGCTGTTAGTTGTAGTGTGCAAAACTTAAGGGCAGCAAAGTGTTGTGACCCATTCAACATATAATCAATTCAATTATAATAAGCACCCCCGTTCCTATTAAAGAAACATTGATTCTAGCTCCTTTCATTCTAAACAATATTGTTAATGAATTGCTGTGTTTTTGTTATGTGGGTGTATTTTTGGATGAGGGGAAGGCTTAAGAACATTTGTATATGTCTGACGGAACAAGTCACGTATGGCGCATTTCCACAGCAGCACGTAGCACGGTTTAAGCGTGCCGTGCCAAACCCGGCCCGTTTTTGGTTGCGTTTCCACTAGGCGTAGTTCCGGCTAGCGATTAGTTGACACACTAAACCATTCGATGACCTTAAATGTGTGATTACCGCGAAAAGGTTGACGTCCCGGAGCGAGCCGAATCATGCCATACAGATCGGGAGCAATCCGGTCCGAGTGAAATACGACGCAAAGTAATGTCAATCCTATGACCCCATGCATTGATATCATTGCGTCACATTCCGCCTCGGCACTACAGTAGTAGTTACGCTTTGGTGTTTGTTTGTAGTCGGCAATCGACAATCGTTAGTCTCGAGTGTCGAGGAGTATAGACAGTCTTTGATTCTGTTTTCAATTTGTTCATGTTTGGTGTCTGACAGACACAGTACCTTCTTATGTCCAGGCGACCCAAATAAATACAGACATCCGGCAACAACACTCACACCTGCCAGCCTCGTATATTTTGCAATCGAATCGGCTAGAGGTAAGTCTTTCCGTCCGTAAAATTTTCCAAAAAGCGGACGGCAGACAGACGTCTTGACAGTTTCGTAATTCAAGTACCAAAAATGATTGGTCAATAGTCATACAACAATGAAGCTGTAGGTAAACACTTTGCACATAATGTTAATTTAGTCCTATTTTATACAAGTACAACAACATACCGGTCGCTAAGAGAGTGATCAAATCGTATGAGTCCGGGCAACAACCGGGCCTTTCTTGGAGCTAAAACTCCTCTCGGGTCTTTTGACACTNGCTATGTTAATTTTGTTCACAATTTGTTAAGTTAATAATATATGTATTTTTCAATCAAGTATTCAACTTTATTGTCTTCATTGTTAGTTTCCACATTCCAGGAATGTGGAAACTAACAATGAAGACAATAAAGTTGAATACTTGATTGAAAAATACATATATTATTAACTTAACAAATTGTGAACAAAATTAACATAGCTTTTTATTTAAATTAAATACATAATATTTGACATCAAAAGAAACAACAATGTTTTAAAAAATCATATTAAATAATCTGATGACAAAACTGTAAACAGAATAGCTGAAACTTCAACAAACTAAATAACTCAGTTACCTCTAATCATTAACCCATGTTTGTATAATGTAGTTAACTCCGTGTGTTGCTGCTAGCATACATAACACCTGACGTGGAAACGTTACTCGTGGATGGGGCTAGAGCTGCTAGAAAGACAGTCGAACCCGGTGCATTCCTCTGTCTGGATGTGGTGCACTTTTGCTAAATGTTTAGACAAATTGACAAAACACCAACGAATCGACCACTGAATTAGTTGGCAACTAATTTGGTCATCGATTTGAATCGATTAGTTGTTGCACCCCTAGTCGTGACACAAGTTGAGAATTAAAAGGATGAAACATACTTGCACCAGGAGTGGGCCATCCAATTCAAGCTGTCCAACTGGTAGTCTCGGAGCTCCAGTCCTTCACCTCCTATGTACGTCGGCTGCTTCTTCATAGGCAGAAACCTGGGTCTCTGTTTGAGCACCTGCAGGAGAGAAGAGCAGTCGTTGAATATTCAAGTCAAAATGCTGAATACCCAGAAGAGATCACATTGAGCTAGACTTAGGCCCTGTGTCAACGTAACGCTCAAAGTGCTTATTTTTTAACCTCGGACAACGATATCTTGACACAATTCTTGGCTGTTGTACAACAAACTAGCTCCGCCCCCTGGATTTTAATAAGTGTTTGTGTTACTACACATTTTTGACACTTGTTTCCCCATTGCAACCAACCGGAAGATGCTAGATTTCACACTTTGAATGAATGAGCTTTGAGACAACGTACAACACTACACAGCTTTCCAGTCTTTGTTAACATAGTTTTAGTCTGAAAGACCGGGTCAACAACAAGCTGAGAAGCTGAAATATTTTCTAAATAACAACATAAACATTGGTGATCTACTTCACAACATGTTCCCCCTGCATAAGTCCCGGTGCGTTACCTTGCAGTCTCTGAAAGGAATGTTCTTGGACTGGTTTCTGCTCATGTAGTTGTCGATGCATTTCTGGAACTTCCTGCCAATGAGAGCGCCGTCCTCCCAGCTACACTCCGAATATGGCAAACCCTGCCACTTGCACAGATAGTCTGGGTAACCCGCCGCTGACTTTTGGTTGGAATGTCCTGCAGCATAGAAAGTCAGAGAGCCGGTAAGTTGCAGGATTCCAAAAAGCATTAAAAGTATTCAGAGGAAAGAACTAAATACAAACAACAAGTGATGTAGAAAGCTCACCTATGATTCGCTCCACTATCTGGTACTGAGAGTGCAGGTCGTCCATTAATTCTTCCTGACAATTGAAATACTCTACATCCTCCGGTGATGCAGCTTTTAACCTGAGGAGAAAACCAAAAACATTAGATAATAAGAAATAGCCTGTATTTTTTATGTAAAAAAAACAAGTATATAGCATGCTTGTTATCAAATGACCAATTTGATTGACAGAAGAGACCGGAGGGGACCAACCAAAGGGGAGGAAAGCCAGCCAGTGAGACTGTTTCTTTGTCTGTTATTTGATCGTCATCATAAATGCCAAAGTAGTCTTTCCTGCAGCTCAGTGGCCAGAAGAAAAACTGTCGGCCTGAAACAGTTTGTAATGATCTCAGCATTAAACTGGTTAACCCTTAGATGCACGAGTGACTACACTCTTCCATAAGTGAGTCAAAAAGGACCCGTATTAGAATAATGTGTTTTGATGCCATTTTTGTTAAGAAAAATCACTTGTATAATATTTAGTATAATATTTTGGTTCACACTAGAAATATGTTATATTTAATTTTTCACTATTTATAATTTTAGAAAAAAAAATACATTTTGAAAAAAAACGTTTTGAACATATCGAGGCAAAGATCTCCGCTATTCTGAGACCCTCACAGTATTCCAGTCCCTTTTCAAAACTCATCTCTTCTCCTCTTGTCTACTCATAGCCCACCCCCCATCAATCCTTGCCGGTTGATCAAGTTTGATAGTCCTACACCCCCCACCCTAACCTTCCCTTATATTGTAAAGCGATTTTGAGTCCTTGAAAAGCCCTATCAAAATATAATGTATTATTATTATTATTATTATACTGACAGGTATCAGATCTTGCTGTGTGAAATAATCTTCCTGAGAGGTGTCACTTGTGATGTAATCTGTGTGGTCTACAGTGAATGTATTCCTGACAGCAACAGGTGATAAGAATCAAAGGTTCCCATAGGATCCCATAGGAAATGCATGCGGGTCATTTTTGACCCACTTATGGAAGCTTGGGGTAGTAATACAAAAACTACAATTTCTTAAAATGTAAATAAAAAATTTGAATGGCATGATATTCAAAAAATGTAATTACAAAGATACTTCAAGAAAAACCACCTCACGGGGTCAAAAAATACCCACTTATGTATCTAAGGGTTGAACACGCTCTCACCATCTCTTTTTATCCGTATCCTTCTTCTTGAAGTTGTCCAGTTTCTTCATGCCCTTGACATTCTGTAACTTGAGTGTGTCCTCTGTCTCCCAGGTGTTGTGGATATGCGCCCAGTTCTTCCACTTGATCAGATACTGGATGTCCCCAGCCTCTTTGTTGGGATTGAAGTTGAGATTAGGGTCCCCATCTGCTTCTATGGCGTACACAGTGGTGACACTTCCTGTGGCTGTTAGGAAAGTTAAAACAATGTCAAATACATCGAAATTCATCCTTAGAACTCAAGTTTTTATGGTACATATAAACAGGAAGTAGGGATGCTCCGATCGATCGGCCGCCGACGTAGAATTATGACATAAAATACATGACACTTTTCTCTGTGCGCGGCAAAACAAGCTCGCCAAAACGGCTTCACCAGTCTGGCAGTATTTTAAGGTGTCCGAAAAAGACAGTAAAATATCGGTATGCAACGTGTGTGAAGCAGAAATACTGCAGCTCCACCCGCCGTGACGGACCGGTGAGCGGAGCAACACACACTAAGAGTTAGACCTAACACGCTTAGATATTTGATCTACCTCTGGAACTAGCTAGTTATAAATATGTTTATTCTTCAGTGTCGGGTCACTCATTACTGGATCAGTGAGCTGCATGAGATACTGACAGGCTGTGTGAGAGAGAGAGAGAGAGAGAGAGAGAGAGAGAGAGAGAGAGAAGAGAAATAGAGAAAAAGAGAGCGCTTCCGCTCATTTCTCCGTGTTATTATCCAAAGTTAATGTGAACTTGAATAATGTACTTCATTTGAATGTAATAATTATGTTGGTTGTTGTTTGTGGAAGGGCCAGTGAATGAGCCCCATTAACTGAGTTTTAAACATCACTTTAAATGGTCCCCCATAGGCCCCGCCCACTCGATCGCCCCCAAAATTGGAGATCGGAGCATCCCTAACAGGAAGTTCAAGATTTGTGAGTCAATGTTCCAGTCAGTAACTTAAACGTTCCATAGATAAGAAATAAATAAGCAGCTTACAACACTAAATTACAACTAATATGTTTAGCTAACTAGCTTATAACACCCCACAATCTGTAAGTAAATAGCAAAGGCTAAAATGACTGAATTACCACCATAGTCTTGGAGGAATAGTTCAATAAAAATAGATTCATTTTCACAAATGATGTTCCCAGACTACAAAATGTGATCTGTTTACAGTGCCAGTTGAATTCAATGATTAATCAGCGGGTTTCTTACCTCTTTTCCTCCCTATCCTGGACTCCATTACTTTCTCCAATGTCTCAAACTCCTCTTCCTCAGGCGCCGGGACGTCTTCACCGAGAACTTCCACCAGGTCGTCGGAGTCGGTCTTCAGGTCATCGTCCTCCTTGTAGCTGACGTTGACCGTGGCCTGCCGCCGGGGCCCCGCAGCGGCCGCCTTCTTGTACTCATCATCCTCATCAGAAGAAGAATGATTCGTGGACTTTTTCTTCTTCTGGTTGGTGCTTTTCTTCCCATTCCGATAATTCATCCTGAGGGCAAAAGTACACACATCCTTTACTCAAGTAGAAGTACAGATACTCGTGTTTAAAAATACTCTGGTGAAAGTAGAAGTACTGACTAAACTTCTTTACTCAAGTCAAAGTAAAGAGGCTTTGAAATGTACTTCAGTAAAAAGTACCCATAACTAGCAGCTGTTTTAAAGAGTACCTGACCTCCCTTTATATTAATAGAACAATAATGTCATTGTTAGCTAATGAATGTTTCCATGCTGAACAACGGCAACATGACAACGTTTTCATTGGTCCCTCTTCTTTAGAGAAGACCAGGAAATGATGGATACACGGATCGTGTTCAAATCAATAGGCACGCAATGACTCTAAATAATAATGATCACGCCACCAAACACACATTCAAACTAAAGGAACCAGCCTGTTTGGAAAATGTGAGAAGTAGAAAGTACAGGTATTTGGGTTCAAAATGTAAGAAGTAGAAAGTACAGGTATTTGGGTTCAACATGTAAGAAGTAGAAAGTACAGGTATTTGTATTCAACATGTAAGAAGTAGAAAGTACAGGTATTTGGGTTCAATATGTAAGAAGTAGAAAGTACAGGTATTTGTGTTCAACATGTAAGAAGTAGAAAGTGCAGATATTTGGTGTTCAACATGTAAGAAGTGAAAGTACAGGTATTCAGTGTTTCAACATGTGTGAGAGTAGCAAAGTACAGGTATTTGTGTCAACTGTAAGATAGAACAGATATTTGTGTTCAACATGTAAGAAGTAGAAAAAGGTACAGGTGATTTGTGTCACATGTAAAGAAGTAGAAGTTAACAGGTAATTTGGGTCAACATGTGAGAAGTAGAAAGTATACAGGTAGTTTGAGTCAACCATGTGAGAAGTAGAAAGTACAAGGTATTTGTGTTCAAAAATGTAAGAATTAAGTAGAAAGTACAGGTATTTGTGTTTCACATAGTAAGAAATAGAAAGACAGGTATTTGTGTTCCAACAATGTAAAAGAAGTAAAAGTACAGGTAATTTGTTGTTCAACATGTAAGAAGTAGAAAAAGTACAGGTATTTGAGTTCAACCATGTGAGAAGTAGAAAGTACAGGTACTTTGTGTTCAACATGTAAAGCAAGTAGAAAGTACAGGTATTTGTTGTTCAACATGGTGAGAAGTAGAAATGTACAGGTATTTGAGTTCAACCATGTGAGAAGTATAAAAAGAAAGTACAGGTATTTGAGTTCACATGTAAGAAGTAGAAGGTACAGGTATTTGTGTTCAACATGTAAGAAGTAGAAAGTAACAGGTATATTGTGTTCAACCATGTGAGAAGTAGAAATACAGGTATTTTGAGTCAACATGTGAGAAAGTAGAAAGTACAGGTATTTGTGTTCAACATGTAAGAAGTAAAAGTTACAGTTATTTGTGTTCAACATGTAAGAGTAGAAAGTACAGGTATTTGGGTTCAACATGTGAGAAGTAGAAACGTATAGGTATTTGTGTTCAACATGTAAGAAGTAGAAAGTACAGTTATTTGTGTCAACATGTAAGAAGTAGAAAAGTACAGGTATTTTGTGTTCAACATGTGAAGAAAGTAGAAAGTACAGGTATTTGAGTTCAACTTGTGAGAAAGTAAAGTACAGGGTATTTGTTCATAATGGTAAGAAGTAGAAAGTAAATAAGTAGTGGAGTAAAGTACTGATACCAGAACAATGTACTTAAGTATCTGGCTGAAGACTCTCTGATGGAGGGCCTTTGACCATTTCACACCCAGACGTTCATGTCCGCCCTGCAGGACGGAGGCTAATCACTTTTGCAACAACGCTTCACTTGTTTCGCAAATAACTTCATCGGGGCCCAAGACCTGACCGTGGTTTTTTGAGAAACACCCTGCAAACCTCAGCCTGTTCCTCCTCTCACAGCACACTCAATTAATTAGACATGCACCGACTTCAACAACACACTTGGGATTTTATACTTTGAATAGCAGTGGCGCAGTTGATACGTTCCTATTCTTTGCACTCTTCATTTGTTATTGCAGTTATTAAGGTTTAATGACTTACAGCTTGAGCTTGGTTTGTTTGTCCCAGGCAGAATTACGGTAAAAAACTACTCCGTCCCCAATTTTCATTAAACTGCCCTGCAGAAGGGATGACGCCTTTGGAGGGCAGATCCATTGCACGAGGCGCAGATGCAGCAAATTATTATTTTCCACTTATGGAACTGGGCCATTGGCAACAAGTCTGGGCATTTCTTGCAAGTTCTCTTCTAGTTTTGTAATTTGCTTTACTTAGAAAGAACTAAAGAATTGTCATAACATTTTTTAGTCCCAAAAGGCTACTAGTAATTATGGCCAAAAAACTTACAGTAACAGTTCCAGGTGGTTTCTGGGCCCAAAAACAAGCCTTTTTATTAGTATCATAGCTCAAATATAGCATTAAATAGATAGATAGATCGATAGATATGATATATGTAGAAGAGAATATTGGAAGACCATGAAAATATATAAACATTAGTGTTTTATATTGAAGACAGAAAAGGGCATTAACAATTGTGTGTGCCAAAATGATTAAATAAATTCGGGCAAGATCCGGGCGCAAATGAGCAGCGAAAGGAATTTTGTTTTGTTCCACTAATTTCTCCCTGTTTTGCATATTATCTTGTCCCATCGGCGCCCTGGCATACGGGGGGGCCTGTTACATCAACATTGAGCTGTCACCTAATACGATCCGCCATCCCCTACCCGATCACGCCTGGCGCTGGTGCCGAGATGGGTCCGCCATATTCGGAGCAACTCCATACGGCAACTCAAATAGGACATTTGGCATCCTA